CCTCCCTCTTTAGGAAGGAGTGTGTTGTTCCTTCACTTGGATTTAAAATTGAGTTACTCTCTTTTCTTCAAACATGGCTAAAGTCCCTGGCTTAACTCCCTTGTACAACCCATCTAGTTCCCTTCAATAGTCTTGTTTCTCCCCTAGCTAGCTTCGCCCTCTAAATTCCTTTTTATCTACACATAATTCTTCTATTGATAAAATTTTATTAATACAAGCATCTAACATGTCACAAAAGAATAAATCAAAATTCATAACACAAGTCAAGAAAAAAGGACAAATTTGATAGTGAATAGTACACAATTTAACTTGGGCTTTAAATTTGGCACATTATCGCTATTGATAACAATTTTTGCAATTTTTGTCTCCCTAACTACATTTGAAATTTTGAGTTGAAACTTTATGACATTATCTATGTGACATTATAATTTCATATTAGAAAAGTGTCTATGGGGAGTTGGGTGAACACAATTTGAATAGTTTTTTTACTTCTTTTGACACAACATTGAAGCAATTCAAATGTCTGTTATGATCAAGTTTCGAGTTAGAACTACCGGCATTAACACTGTGATCATTGCAGGGGTGGGGGCTAAATGCTCATGATGGGATCCCTGGATGATTGCAGAAGACATGCACCTAAAAATCCGGCTCCGCACAAACATTCATGGTATTATAGAACAAAGCATATGTGATCTAAAATAAGAAAAACAAAGCATAGTAATATACTTATGTATCACCTTTATTTTGAATTATATAAGACGTTTTGAATATTATAATATAGACAACATACGAACTAAAATTAGTGAACAAACACATTATAACACGTCTATATATTCATTCGATTCAGGAAAAAGTTAAGAGTGATTAGGAACAAAGGATAAAGTACATCTCTGCCTCCACGTAGGACCGCCGAGCATGCCAGAGTGGAGTCCTTGACATAAATAAACATGCATAAATAAACGGATTTGCTATTTTTCAGCTGACTGATTTTCAATTCGCTTTCATTCAAATTGTTGGCCGCTCGATCTCGCGCTGAGATTCACACTTGGTCCTGTTGGCTTTGTGCTGGTTTTCGGGCTCGTTTTTTTACCGGGCGCGGTTTTCT